AGGTCTGGAACAGGTATGGCAGGTGTCAGTATGTAAAGCAGGTGGGTAAATGAACCCAGAAGCAACAAGCATTCAATAACTTTGTAACGAATCTCGGGCTGCGTTCCGGCGTGGAGCGCAGCCGGCGTTAGCGCAGTGACGTATATCTGCTGCGCTCCACGGTGGAACGCGGAAGTTCTGTGATCGGCGTGGGGCTCCTCCCCGCCGCACTTCCGCGATTCCCTTTAAAAACCGGTTCGGGGGTATGGCAAGGTGTCGCTTAATCTGGATCTTACACCTGCTACCCCCGAACGCCTGTAACCCCACCAGCAGGAGACCCCCTCCAGGAACGCAGCATCCCCACCAGTAGACCTCCAGCCTGAACCTTCCGGAAGCCTCCACAGGAGACCCCCTCCAGGAACGCAGCATACCTGCAGCCCAGCATAGTTCCCAGCCTCAAAGCTGTCCCCAGCTAAAGCACCCTCTGCCTGGAGTTCCCACCTCAGGACGGATGTCCCTCTCCACTGGACCCCATTGCTCGGGACCCGCACCTGGAACCGCAAGTACTCTACTATTAAGAACCGTATATAACTCATATGCATAGATGTGCTAGTATCAATTACCTGCTACTTACCTGATGTATAAACTACCTAGCAAATTGCTATTACTTTGTACTGGACTGTAGCTTAACCCTCATACTGGGCTCTGCCGTGCGTATGTTGTCCAACCATTGGGGTCATTGCCTCTGGGGGCTTATTCTTGCTTAAACGCTGCAAGTATGTATACCAGCTAGCGCTTCATCGTAAGGTATGAAGTAATACCTTCCACTCTATCCTCTAAACATTCAAGCTCTACCCAACACACGCTAATAGGAAGACAACGGGCTCATGATGTCAGCAACTCCTAACTCTCCGCACTAGATTGAGAGTGACGCCAGGAGTTCCCGACTGATTGCCCTCATTAACTCCATTAGAGCTTCAGGTTCCGCCACTGGGGTTCAACCCGCCCCAACACAAGTCAGTGACACACTAAAGGTACCCACACACCTTACAATTTATCTGCAGATTTTCTGTGGTCAGATGGAAAAAGTGCAACAGATTGGCCCAGGTGGAGATTACTCCATCCACACAGTTTAATGTAGATGGAGGAATCTGTTGCACCTTTTCCATCTGACCATAGAAAATCTGCAGATAAATTGTAAGGTGTGTGGGCACCTTTACGGTTTCAGAGATTGCATTCCTCGGGATGAAGCATGCATAATCAAGCATGATCTGTACTTCCTTTGCTTCAGTGGAGTGCCGGGGAGACATTATCTGTGAAATAAACCCCTAATGTCTCATTAAAGTGAACCTGTCACTACCTTTGTGCTATTATATAAGATACATGTACAGTCACATACAAATGTTAGGGCCACGGAACAAAATAGGAGAAGTGGCCCTATGGGATTGTCACCCCTATCACCCATGTGTTTTTAAAAAAACTAATTATATGTGAATAGAGGTGTGGAGTGACTGTCATGTACATGTCTCTCTGGGACTGCTTTGCTGGTTCTTTCTGCTTTGTCTTTCAGGTTACAAGCTGCCTGCTGTTGCTAGGAAGATTTACCTCAGTTGCTGGACAGACCTTCAGTCAGCTGAGCACAGGATTGGTGACAGACTTTTGGCGGGAAAACAGCTGACCAATGAGTGTAACCTTTCCCCCTTTATAGTCACTCCTGTCACTGGACAGTATCAGCATTTTACCTCAGAACTGCCAGCTGGACTCACCTCTGGATTATCTTCACAATTAATTTTGGATCTTTTCACCTGCTTCCCGCCCACGCTCCCCTTTACTGTACTTTCCCTTGTCGCGGTCAATCTTTATGGGGTAATGTCGCCCACTTTGTGGGTGGACGGTGGTTGGTAAACAGTAATTTGGTTGGTGTAAGTTATTGCTGCTTGAGTCTTGATGACTAAGCATGGTGGTCTGTTAATTGTTAACAGTGGTTCTGTTTGGTAATACAAGTTAAAGTCTATTTATTGGTTAAATTAATTAAAACCCAATAAAGGTGCCGCGGCCTAGTTATTCCACAATCTTTGTTGTATTTTACTTTATTATTTAAGTTTATTGTTATGGTATGATGGGTGTCAATGGGGTGTACAATCCCATGTAAAAGCATGCATCGGGGGCACCTACATATGAAAACGACAATTGCCCTACATGTGTTGGGTATCTTCGCACAGATCAAAGGGCTGTCAGGCTGTCATTCTGAGTTAACTCTAAATTCATGACCTGTAAAAGCTCTTAGGGATGTCTATAGACCCTTGTGGGTCGTGACCCAAAAGTGGGTCGCTACCCCCTGTTCATTGGGTCCTCTCGTGCCTTCCACTTTTCTAGGTGAGAGGCTTCTCAGCCTCCCCCTAGCGCAGGACTGTCAGTTCTCGGGCCAAGCAACCATTCAAAATATGCTGCCTGGCTTTGAGTGTCAGCTTGAGGTGGGGTGGGCTGGAGCTATGGCCACGAAGGAGCTCCATCTATACGTACATTGCTTACAGCTCCCTTGCATGTCCTGTAGAGGTGCCTGGACCGAAGTGATGCCACATTCTGGCTTCCACAACCTCTACAGGGTGTGCAAGGGAGTTGTACAAGCAATGCACATATGGATGGAGCTCCGTCACAGCACAGCAACCAACACTGGACCCCAGGCTGAGGATCCACTCCAGCTCTCGTAAGACAGGGAGACTGGGTGCATCTTAACAAAAATTATGTGAGATTGCGCCTGTGGTTGTGTGTGAGATTGCGCCTGTGGTTGTGTGTCTGTCAATGTTTTTGTGTGCCCGTTCACACTAGTACAGTGCATTCATTGAACAGTCCTGTGCCATTAACACACTGTACCACGCAATCACACCTACTATGCGTTCTGGTGTGGGAGGTGCGTCGCATTTCTATTCATTTGAATGGCACCCAAAACGCACCTCCTGCCCACAGTCCAATCACCCGCATTGTGGTACTGCATGTGGTACTGGAACATGCAGTACCACAATGCCGTGCGTTCCATTGCAGTGCAACTTGGTTCACGACTTAATGACCAAAGACAAATGTGGGTCCTGAGGTTACACAGGTTGCGAACCACTGCTATAGGCAATTTTGGGTGCCAAGGTTTTTAGCTGATTCACGGGCACACACAATTTTTTAGGCTTGACATGTTTATTATCTATTTACTCAACTCAACCTCAATTAATCTCCAGCATCACCGCTTTCCAAAAACATATAATTTTAAAGTGTTTTAAGCAATTTGCAGGCCTAAAATGTGCATTTTAATATGTGTGACCTAACAGCTCCAACAGCGAAACGGTTAAAGTATCTATAAAGCAAATCGCGCTGGAATGGCCAATCCCCTGATTAGTATCATATCAAACAGAAAACATCAGAAAGACACTAAACTCAGTAGTTAAATCTTAAAAAAGCATTTCAGTACCCTAACTATTAACCAGAATGTACCTTATTTGTTCATCACTTAGCTGCAGTCAACTAAGGTCAAATCATCTCTGAATTTATGCCAACACTGTTCTTCCTTCTAGAGGGTGGCTACTTTTGTTCCCCATGGTCCATGTGTATGTTGTAAGGTAGCCACCACTCCAAGCTTGCTCCTGTGACAGGGGGCATTTCAGCCTGTGATGTCATAGGTTGACAATGGGGCCCCAAGCACCCATGCACCTGCTGTTTCCATTAGAGATGAAAGCAGGCATGTTGGCAACTCTACCACAGTTGTGCAGTTATGGTTAGCATTGACAAGAAGAGACAGGAAGCATGGCTGGGTGGAGGACACAGGTTGGATCACCTTTTATTTTCCAGCATTGCTAACTATTAAAAAAAAAATTTTTTAAGTCTGCAATATTAGAGTTAGGGTAACAAAAAATATAATTAAGGAGATTTTTTTTCTTTTAGGTTTACATAAACTTTGACCCTGTAGTGAAAAGTCGAACTTGTAATATGTATAAGAGGAACATCAAATTAGAAGAAATTTTCCATTGTACGTTTATTAATGAGCAAGTTTCATAGAAATCATAAAATATTTGCCTTGTTGGTAACTGGACATTGACAACTGCACATTATGGTAAATAAAACGTGTGTAACCAGGTGTTAAGAAAAAAACAAGAGTTATTACAAACTAAAGCTGGTACACATCCAAGTGTTCAGTTGCATTCTTCTCGACACAAACCATATTAAGTTAATGGCACAAACTTAAGAGGACTGTTGAGTAGCAGCATTGTACCACGTATTCTTCCAATCTGTCATTTATTCTTCAAATGTAACAACCCAGATTTCTGTACTTCACTGTTTAGCACCATATACAAATAACCAGCTTCTGCAGATCAACCAAAACTTAACTGGGCTTTACAAAACAAGATACAATACATGAGAAAGAATTACACAACAAATTAATCTAAGCTTTAAAAAGACAGTATTTTAAATACCCTATGTAAAAAGAGATAATTAACACAGATGGGGAAAAAAAAGCAAATCGATATATGTCAAAAGAATATAAAATGTACAAAAGTAACTCAATGAAAAATAAAATACAACAAAAAAAAGCCTCTTGTTGGATTATGGCAACTGTCTACATCAGTTGTGATTAATGAAGATATTGGTCCGAACATATCGTAAGAACAAATGATAGGTCAAATGATTGCACAAGGCTTTAAATGGAAATCCTCTCTTTCTTAGTCATGCTTACAAAATCTGGGTGGAACTGTTCCTACCGCAGAAGCATACAAATATGCTTATATCATGCAAACCGTTTTCATTGGGATTTCAAAGCTGAATTTAGCTCCAAAATGATGTTATGCAGTATTGTGGTCAGGCCCATAGCAGATCTCCATTCAGTCTGTCCGGTAGACATCTCTGATGATGACTTTCCTTTCCTAATGCAGGGATTCATCCATGTACAGTAACATTTAAGGCTGGCGAGAACGCACTGACTAATACCCTCTAAATGATGTGGTGTCTGGGCTTAACACCAACCAAACATTGAGGCAAGGTTTTTTTTTTCCAGCGTCTCCTTTCATCATCATGTCCAGTTGCTGTACATCTGCAATACAGGCAGCCGTAAATGGACTACCAATGTTTGCAGAGTTAAAATAAGTTATCCCCGTGGGGAAACAGCAATACATTTTATGTGCTTTAAATATTGATTAATTTATCCATCTGATTATCCTTCTGTGTTTCCTTTGCACAGACAAGTGCACTCTTCATGGTGTTCCAAAGCCACATCTGTGAGAGATTTCTGAAGGGATTTTGAACCAGTCCTTTGCCTGAGCTGTAGAACCTATAGATGAATATAAAAATACAAGCTGTTCAGACTGCAGAACTGCTTACATATATGCTGGAATTCATAAAAGATGTACTGACTGCAGCCTTAAGGGCCCATTGACTGCATCCCCCCTCTGTCAATCCCCCCACTGGCTTCCAATCGCCCAAAGGATAACATTCAAAATATTAACAGTCACTTATGAAGCCATCCACAACTCTGCCCCCAGGCACATTTCAGACCCAGTCTCAAAATATCACCCGTCCACTCCGCTCTTCCCAAGACCTCCTGCTTTCCAGCTCCCTTGTCAACTCATCCCTTACTTGCCTCAAGGACTTCTCTAGAGTCTCTCCCATCCTCTGGAACTCTTTACCCCAAATGTCCGTCTATCTTCCACCTTAACTGCCTTTAGGCGTTCCCTAAAGACTCATCTCTTCAGGGAAGCCTATCCCACCTCAACCTAACCACTCAACCATCACGTTCTCAAACAATTCTTCCCCACACAGCTACCTCCTCATGTATTACTTCCCCCTCCTCTTTTAGATTGTAAGCCCCAGGGGCAGGGCCCTCCTCACCATCTTGTCTTGAATTGTATTGTGATTGTAATGTCTTCCTTATATTGTAAAGCGCTGCACAAACTGTTGGCGCTATATAAATACTATGTAATAATAAGAGAGAAAAAAAAAAAGCAAAGAGGTGTGAGTGTTTCCAAACCTGACTAGAGGCATGTCACAGACTAGACTTGTAGAGTGCTAAAGAACTAAACACGAAAAGCAATCACAAGCCTGAGGACCCTGAAGAAACTTGACTATTACTCGGAAAAAAAGGTACTGTGACTTTTCAGCACACATGCTGGTTATGCAAATAACACTATTAATTGCATATATACTCAGAAACTAATATTGTAGGCTATATGTTTTAGATGCACCTGGGGTCAACTTTAAAGATCCTAAAAAGTAAGTTTCCCCAAAAGCTCATATGTTGTTTGTGCATTGAGCAGGATAACACACTGATGCCTTGGTTCATTCTGGTACTTCTCTCTCTGCTGGGAAAGGACTGCATACTTATGCATGTGGATGTATTCAATTAATAAGAAGGGGGTCCCAGGTACTGGCTCACCATGCTACCATTATATTAAAAGGGCACTTTAGTTTTAGACAACCCAATTGACATACCTCATGGTACTTTTTAGTGACTTTAGTTGGTGTGCATTGGCATTCATTGCAGCTGTAATTGCAGCAAGCACAATTGCCACCACATCGCTTAACCAGGAGACAACTTGGCCAAAATATGGCATCCGTCCGCTTCAGTTCTTCCCGTAGAGATACTGAAAAGTTTCGTGGTGTGCAGCTGTACAGACGTACTTCCTCTCTCATAATACTCAGGTCACCTGCTGGGGAATGAAGCACAACATTACAAATCAGTTATTATTGCTAAGAGAGTAATACTTTCTTATATGACTAATTATACGGAAAGCTATCACAGACTTGAGTACAGTATTTTATAAATACTGAGCATTAGAAGGTGGCCATAGACCAGAAATCACAGCTTTCATCAACTAGCATGCTACATAATATACTACCAATATACTCACAATAGTCTAACAATAAGGCAATCTCTGATTAGCTTAGGGTTTGTAGCATGTGTATAATGCAGCAGGGTTTCAGGATACACGAACTGTTCATCTGTAAGAGGCTGCTGGGAGCCATATCATAGTGTGACAAAAGCTACATATGACTTCTAAGCCATTAGTTGGAAGTGAATGTTCTATTTTTATCTGAAATGGATGAATACATTATTTTACCATAGATCATGCAATTCTTAGACCATAGATTATGGAATACTGAGCTTTGGAATTACTTTAATATAGTTTATAACATTATGTATAATATCTTAATAACTAAATACACGTGTGTGTATATACATAATGTGGTAATATTGTGCTACAACTAGAAGTTGCAAATTCTTGGATGCCAAAGCAACTTGACTATAGAACACAGCACCAAAGCCAATAAGAGAAAACTCTGAAGTGGTTTTAAAGGATAAGTATTGGGAGAGTAAAATATAGTCTTCCCAATACTTAGAGCCATTGTGGGACACTGCAGATGTCACATGCCAGCTCTATATGCTGAGCGATTGTGCAACCACTAATCGCTTAGCTCATGATCTCCTCCCTGCAAAGAACAGTGACTACCAGTCATCTTTCTCCACAAAGATTCGCCCCTCCCCTCTCTGTTCCTCCAGTGCTCATGGGAGAAACAGACAGGGTAGGGGGTGGGTGCAGCAGGGTATAGAGAGGAAGAGTGAGCTGTCAATCAGGCAGCCAGGTGGATCCCAACAATATTGTCATGATCCTTCCTGGTTGCAGCTCAGCTCTGCACTATCAACATACAGTAAGTCAGGCAGCAGCCTCCACAGAGAAATATGTTTTCCCTGGGATTTATGCATCCTCTGGGTAAATAGGTGCAACAGATTTACCTCTGCTAGTGATGACGAAACCTCTTCTACTACTTTTTTGCAAGAGAAAGAACTTACGGATTTACCTTTCAAGAGTAACCATTTGGGGCAATCAAAAATATCACAGGGGGTAAGAGTACCTTTTTACTACAGCTCAAGAAAGATAAAGAACCTCAGCATGAACCAAGGCCCTTCCTTTTTGCCTCACAAACATTTTTTTTCATCCCCAAGGATCCTCAAATAAAAGTCCTAAGTCCAGCATCACCGGTGGTCAGAAGAGGACTTGGCAATCTAAGTTCTCCAAGCATGCTGAGAAGCCATCTTCTGCATGAGGGTTTGGCCCCCACCAGCAAGGTAGGGTTTTTTCTCGGTTGTCTCAAATTTCAGTCAGTTGGGTTTGCGAGCTTATTTCCTTTGGATACAAAATTACGTTTCATTTTCGTTCTCCAGCTCATCTCTTTTGATAAAATCTTCACTTCGCTCTCACACTCAGGTTCACTTACAGAATTTATGTTTGGCTGTAGGGAACCTGGTTAAGATGGGATATTATTAAAAATTTTAACAGTACCTAAAGATTTTGATTTTGGATTTCAAAGCCCTGAACGCCTTTGTCAATGTTCGCAAGTTAAAAATGGAGACCTTTCTGCTCAGTGATTGCTTCTCTTCATCAGGGGCGATTCTGGTATCCAAAAACACCAAGGATGCTTACCTCCATGTTCCCATTTGCCAGGCTCATCAGCATTTCCTACGCTTTATGGTGGGGGTGGGCCATTTTCATTTTATAGCCGTTCCATTTGGTCTCGCTTCAGACACACGAGTCTTAACCAAACTCTTGTCATCGGTCCTGCTCTTTTTGAGACAGCTGAGGATATCGGTGTTGGCTTACTTGGATAACCTCCTTCTTCGGACAGACTCTCAGCCGGACCTGGAGATAAATTTTCTGATCACCATGTGCACTCTGGAGGAGTTTGGTTACATTCTGAATCTTGGGAAATCGTCCTTGATTCTGCCCCTTCACCTGGAGTATCTGGGACTGATCCTGGACACATATCAGGCCAAGGTTTTTCTCCCTCTAGAAACGATTTGCAGGATAGGGATACAGATCTGCGCATTATTTTCTTGCAAATGGGCAATGATTCACAATTGTATGAGGGTTCTGGGTCTAATGGTTGCCTCCTTTGAAGCCGTTTTGTATGCACAATACCATACTCGGACTCTGCAGAGAGAAATTCTTCAACAATGCAAAAAGTCACCCCATCCCTGGACGGACAAATGCAGGTGATCTGGACAGTCAAAGCCTCCTTTACTTGGTGGCTCAGTTCCCCTGCCTTGATGAACAGGAGGTCATTCCTTCTAATTTGATGGAAAATAATTGGAAAACAGACACCAACCTCGCTGGCTGGGGTGGAGTGACTGGTCAGTTATTACCGCAGGGGAGGAGGAGAGGCCAAGTTACCAATGCTCGGTAGTTGCGAGCAATCAAACTCTGTCTTTCACATTGGACGAATCTACTACAGGGACACCCTGTCAGGATTTAATCAGACAATGCCACTGCGGTAGCATATCTCAATCATCAAGGAAGCACAAAGAGCCTAGTGGAAGCATAGGAAGTTATTCACATCCTTTGTTAGGCAGAAATATGTGTACCAGCACTGTCTGCTGTCTACATTCCAGGGGTAGACAATTGGCAGGCGGATTTCCTCAGTCGTCATGGCTTGGATCAAGGAGAATGGGCTCTTCACCCAGATGTTCTTCTTCAGATTTGTCAGAAATGGGAAACTCCAGATGCAGACCTTTGTGTCCAGGATAAGAGATCCCTTGGCAGATGCAAAAGATACCTTGGTGGCGCCGTGGGACAGGTACAATCTAATTTATGTTTCTCCTCATCTAAAACCTTTGTCACAAATTCTACATTGGGTGGAACTCGAAGGGATACCAGTAATTCTGGTGGCTCCCAATTGGCCTCGACACTCGGTACTCAGACGTGGTAAGGCTGGTTGTAGATGTCCCCTGGTGACTTCCTCTTTAACCAAACCTTCTGTCTCAAGCTCCAACCTTTCATTCTGCTTTACAGTCTTTGGCTTTAATGTTATGACTATAAAAAGCTAGGTGCAGAGAGATAGGGCGTTATCTGAATCTGTGATGCCTACAATCCTTAAGGCACGTGAGTCTACCTCTCGGAAAATATATCCTCGAACCTGGAAAAGTTAGGTTTCATGGTGTGAAGGGCTTTGTATTTCTCCTCATGCTTATTTGGTGGCTTGTATTTTAGCAGGGTGTAGATCAAGAGTTTTTTTTATTGTTCCCGCCCCTCGATGGACACTGCTTCCCAGATAGCAAGGATAACTTGCTACAAACTTGTGGCAGGGTGAAATTGTAATTCTTGTTAACTTGCTGTACATATTCCTGGCAAGTTGTAGACTTGCAGAACACTTGCAGCACAAAATCTAGTTGACACTTTTTGAACTTGTAGCAAATTTGCTTGGCAAGTCTACAGCAAGAGTCCTGCAGGTCTTAGCAAGAGCTCTGCAGGCTCGCTGGTCTGGAGACTTGCAATGCAGACTTGCTGTAATTGTGCAACAAAATTGTGAAGCTTTGCAAGTCTGCAATAGTTTAGCAAGTCATTTTCAAACTTGCAGCTCAATTGCTTGCCATCTGGGTTTGAGACGTCCCATTGGTACGGAGACCAAGATCTCCGCTGTGTCCTTCAATGAATGAAAGAGAAAAAATTATTGTTTTTAGCTTACCATGAAATCCTTTTCTCTGCATTCATTGAAGGACACAGCACCCTCCCTTCTTTGGGTCTTTTTGTCACTTAAAAGATAAGACACAGAGAGCGCCTCCATCGCATAAAGGCTGAGGTTGTTCTGAACCTGGTGAGAGCGTTATCGCCCTGCACTCCTGAACATCATTGATTAATACTCTCTTGAACCAAAATCTGCTAGTGCGGGGTTTGATTTTGTCTGCTTTTTGTCACTTAGTTCTACTACTTTGTGACTAACTGAGCTGCCTTGGATGGAGGTGTGGCCACCAGCAGGTGCCACTCCCAGAGCCGAGCTTCTTTTTTTTTGCCTAGCGTCCTACTCCTGCAAGTGGTGGTATAACCCCACTGGTACAGAGATCAAGATGAACACAGGGAAACACAGGGAAAAGGATTTTATGGAAGTTAAAAAATTCTATTTTTTAAAATGATGTCATCCATGGTAGCCACCATATGTTTGTCAGTATAGGTTTTCTTTGTACATTATAGGTTTTCTTTGTACATTAAAGTACATGGACTGTTTGTGTTGCTATAAAACTGTTTGTGCTATTATTGGCCATGACCATAAAACATATAAGTGTACTCATCTAAACATTGTGTATAGCCAAAACATTTATTTTGAGCTTTAGATAGAGTAGCAAATGGTAAAAACCTCTTTCCATTTCTCTTTTTACAGTGAATGACCGTTATCACCCCAAGACAGGAAAAAAATCTAATTCAGCCACCACACCTAAGGAATGATAGGCTGCAATTTATTAATTTTTTGTTATTGGGTTAGGATTCTGACATGGCAGTCAGTGATGGCAATATACCTGGATAAGATATAAAGAGACCTTTATTCAATACTTTACTGGTACTTTTTACAGTAAGCATATTCAGTATAATACTGTAGATCACATTATTATATAAAGAAACATAATTTTATTAATAGAAAAAAATTGTATAATAAAATGATATGGTATTAAAAAATCATAGAGGGATATTCACTGAAGAGCCGAAGGATGCAGCCATAGCTTTGGCTGATCCTTCGGCTCGCTTTGGCCGTCGGAGCTCTTTGGTTCAGTCGAACCAAAGGGCTGCTGTACAGGCTATTCACAATAGCCCATACAGCAGCCGAGCGGCTGAGCTGAGCCGAAAGGCATATGCTTCGGCTTGGCAAAGACGTAGTGACAGCCGAAGCATGTAGAAAGGTCGGCCGAAGGGCCGACCATTCTCAACGCAAATGAAAGCGGACGTCATGGCCAGGACCTGCTAGAAGACTCTGGCAGATGGTGGCCCATTGTAAAAAGTTGGGCGGAGCTAGCGGTGATGTCACCGCTAGCTCCGCCCAATTGTTTCTATTTCGCCGGCATCTGTCAGGTTCTACATTATGCAGCGGGTGTTCGTTGCGTGCGGTCGGGTCGGCATGCATCTTTTTTTAAATATTTTTTTATTTATTGTTTATATTCTTTTATTTAGCCGAGTTGTCATTGTCGCAGAAAACGCTGGACATCGTGAATGACCCTGGATTACATCAGTGGATCAATTTTTTGGGGTTTTATTTTTAAATAAACGACATGTCAAGAATCCTTTGTGTTTTTTTCAAATAAAGGATTTTTGATTAAAGTCTGTTTTTTTATTTAACTTTAATTTAACCCTTTAGTGAATGGGTAGGGGTACAAGTACCCCTTACTCATTCACAGGGGGGTGCATCTGGGTGCCCCTTTATTAAAGAGGCACCCCGATGTGAATAATCCCCCCTGCCCGCACCCCCACAATCAATGCCCCAGGGCTTGTGGGGAAGAGGCCCTTCTCCCCATCGGCACAGGGACAAGGTGCTTTTCCAGGGGTGACCCTGGAAAAGCACCCTCCCAGTGCCAAGTGAATGTGGCCTGGTATGACAGGGAGGGGGCACTCGCTCGTCCCGTCCCCCTTTCCAGCCCTGCCGGGCCTGTGCACGGTTCAGGGGTCTGGTTGGGAATTTTAGGGGCCGATGTACGGCTGATTTTAGCCAATGTACAACAACGTTCGGCTCACTTGACTTCGGCTGGGTTATTTGTGAATAACCCCCAGAGTGTTATATACCTGGTTACCTGGATACCTGTAGGGATCATGGTGTAAATCCAGTTACAACTTTATAAACACAGACAGGCTTTTTTTATGTCCTATACTATGCAAGCATCATAAGTAGTTTATTTAATTGGGCAGGATGTAGAGTGAGTAATTTAGTAATATATAGTAATATATATATATATATACCACTATATATATACAGTAGTGTTGCATGTCGAGCAGAGCTCACAGAGCTCAAATGGCTAACAAATGTCTCTCTCTATGGATATAAACAATGCATCAAATGAAGAATGTTACATAGTTATCACCTCTTTCCCAGTCATTAATTGTCCAGAATTAGACACAGTGCAGCCTATGTGAAAGATATTAGACATAAATAGCATCTTTACAAATTGACTTGTACACTAATGATGACATTTACTTTAAAAGCACGCTGCAATTTGACATGCCATACAACATACTACACATACCTCTGGATTTTCTGCCATGGATATAGGATTTCCCAAGTAATTGCCATGATGGTCTGTACAATTCCTCTATGTCCAAATGCCACCGATCTGGTTCAAGGTATCTGATTACTTCTTCTACAGTTCCAAAATGGGAGACTGTTGCACTGAGAACATCTAGTGGCAATGCTGATGGGGGGAGCACTGAGGAGCTGAGCGGTTCTGCTTGTTGCTATGAAGAAAAATATTATATTGTTATTAAAATATTCTTAACATACTGGATGACAATTGGAAAAACAATATGAAATTAGTTAGTATGGAATACATTACTAAGTGAGCCAA